GGTGGTTTTTTTGTGATTTTTCCTCTCCCCTATTCAGGGAGACAACACACACCGAATATTTTTGCGCTTCAAACCATTTCGTGATTTGTGCAAAATTGTGTTAAAATACACCAGGGTGCTTGTGTCTACTGCGGACGGAACCCCCGCTGGCCGTGTACGCGCTAGCTTACATTCATCCTGCTATATGTTTTATTATTCCTTAAAACATAATTAACACATTAAAAATACATTTATTTATTATTCTATTAAAGTTTAACGGCAACCCATGTAGCCCCCCTTATCACATAGCATAAGCATGTATGATACCATATATGGACATAATCCCCATATCCGCAACCGTGGCATAAGCATATATACCATATATGAACATAATCCCTCGACCAATCAGAATAAGGGATATGCGCTCCCTCCCACTTATGACGTCATAAACGGTGACCCATTAGGCCCCGCCCAAGGTACCTAATAATATCTCTCCGGTTTTCTTCATCAGCTGGCCCTCGAGGGCACCAGCAGTGCTGAAGGCCCCCGCATAACCCACATGAACCCTGTAGCTATCAATATTAGTGATCAGGAAGATTCCACTCCAGGGAGCTGTGTATACTTTAATTACAGCTAAAAGTTTTAATGCCATAAGCTAGTGTTTCCCAACACGGTCCTGGGGGACACCCAGATAGTCCACATTTTTGCTCCCCCCCAGTTCTCACCACACTAGACCCAGGTATTCGGTGCTTTTAATGGGCAGCTCCCAAATTCTTCCGTCTGCCAAAAGAAAGTCTCTGATGCAAATATAGTCAAAAAGGAACCCCGCAAACAGCATCAAGATGAAAGTGGAGTGAAAATGTGGACTGTTTGGGGGTCCCCCAGGACTGGGTTAGGAAACTCCACCATAAGCAATTCACTACTAGACCAAACCATTTGCATGATTGATTAAAGCAAATCCCTGCCAAGCTAATAATCTCAACGTGGCTTCAATCAAATGAAAATCCTTTCACCTGCATCTTTACTTCTGTGACCCTTCTCCCTCCAGTCAATGGAATCAGGAAGGGGAATCTTAAAGGAACCCAAAGAGCCAGAGGGAGGGCTGTTGATCTCTGCTGGTACACTGGTCTGTGCTGTGGAATACTGTTCAAATGTCTGTCACGAGTATTAATACGAGTAAAATGGGGCATAACAAAGACTGTGGGCAAACAGTTACAAACATCTATACCCTACCAGTATACCAAATGAAACAGGTGGGAATTCCATCGCTGCCATTGGGCCTTAAATAGCTGGACGTCACGTGATATGCGTGTGAATGTCTACCTCCCTATATACTCAGAAATTCGTAGTTACCAAAAAGGAACTCGGTAAGAAAGGTTAACGGTATAAACGACATTTATGTGTCAAATTAGTTACTGTACAATTACATGAATCTGTTTATTATAGTCGTATAAGGGTCACAAATGTGTGTGAAGCAGATGTTATAGAAACCCAGTCAACATAAAGGGAGATTCTTAAGGTATTTGATTGTAATTTCTTTTATTGATTGAAATCCATATCAACAAGGCTGCCAACTTTGGTCAGGTGGCTAGAGTGAGATTTTCAGTTCTAGGCGAGTCTGCACACACATGCACATGCATTTACACGTATGTAGTTTTATTACCTTGTAGACCTAAATAGTTTGCAAAAATAGCGAATATTAGGTTTATAATGGAATTACATAGATTTGCCATAAGATTTCTTACATGAGAGTCTGAAAGTGTGACTGTCACGCCACATGCGTGAGAATTAGCAGCCCTGTATCAATATAAATTTAGAATAATTTACATCACATCATCTGTGGCCAAGTCAACAATGTAATTTAAACCCATTTCATTTTTAAGCCCCACTTATTTAGTGAGCCAGGTCCCTTGATGTCTAACTAAAGAGAATAATATACAGTGGTACCTCGGTTCTCGAACTTAATCCGTTCCGGACTCCGGATCGAATCCTAAAAGTTCTGATCAAATTTTTCCCATAAGAAATAATGGAAAACCAATTAATTGGTTCCCGGCCCCCCAAAATTACACCTAAATGTTCAAGAACTAAGGTGCCACTGTATCTCTGAAATCGTCTGTCACTTTACTTCTGGTCATATAACATCCAACAACCTTGATGCTTGCTTAATGCTTCTTTGTTACGTCGTGTCGGGAAGCAGGTAAAGAAAGCCGTGAAGAAGGGTAAATGGGGTTTATTGTTTGCTTCCCGACCCGACGTAACATTTTTTGTGTATAGCCGGCAATAAATTGTGGGTGTCTGTGATAACAAATTCTTTATCACCAGATTTCAATTTCACCTGATTTTTATCACTTAATATCAGTAATGCCTGACCTAAATTCTGAGCAGATATATGATGTGTTGCATGATAGCTACCTGGATTATAGTTTTCATGGCTGCATCATATACCATCATGATATTGCAAAATTGATATCCTCTAAAATATAATTTGTGATTAGTCCTTCGTTTTGCAGTCATTCGTGTGTATGTGGCAACGGTGAAATTACCCCTGTATCACTGAGAGCTTGTCTACCCAAGAATTACCAGAAACAAGTGATTGAAAATAAATTATTGCAATATCAGCGCAGGGAGACATACGTTTAATCGTACACAGTACCAGCAGTAGCTTGAACATGGGAAGTCATCAGCACACACATCTAACACCATCTGGGGGGGATTATGAACACACCGCAATAGGGGAACTCTCACAACCAGAAACCGACATACTTGCATGCACTGACAAATTACATATTATAGTAATTATTTACACAAGTATTTACACTATGTACAGTTCACTGCAATGCAAGCTGGTCCATGAGTGTTTAAGCCCCCCGACATCACAATATTGTTTTGAACTTTTGTATTAAATACACTGATCATCTATAACATCAAAACTACGTAATGTTGAATAATATTGATTGTCTCATTACAATGGCACTTGTCAAGGGTGACATTAAATAACAGGCAAGTGAACAGTGCATTCTTGAAATAGTTCTGTTGGAAGCAGGTGTTACATAGCAGTGAGAGAAGGCCGACCCAAATGCAGGCTGTCGCTAAGCAAACCCCACTCACGGGGTATTTATTATAAGAGTCAGGCTGGGTAGCACACGCAGATAGACAACAATGACAGAACAGGGAGCACAGGACTGAGACACGCTAATATACATGAATAACAAAGGAGTAAACACAAGGCAGCTGTGATTGGTTAACAAGACGGCAGGAAGGAGAGGTAAGACTAACAAGCTTCAGGACGGCTGATTAGGAGCCTTGCCTGAGGGAAATGCAGGGATCAGACAAGCCGGGCTGGGCTGGACATGACGGCAGGAAAAATGGGCAAGTGTAAGGATCTAAGTGACTTTGACAAGGGCCAGATTGTGATGGTTAGACAACTGTGTTAGAGCATCTCCAGAATGACAGGTCATGTGGGGTGTTCCTGGTATGCAGAGGTCAGTACCTATCAAAAAAACATAAGGTAATCCGATGACCCAGCGATGGGGTCATGGGCGCTCAAGGTTCATTGATGCGCATGGGGAGCGAAGGCTAGCCTGTCTGGGCTGATCCCACAGGAGAGCTAATGTAGTATAAATTGCTGAAGAAGTTAATACTGTCTATGATAGAAAGGTGTCAGAACACAAAATGCATCTCAGCTTGCTGTGTACAGGGCTGCGTACTGCAGGCTGGTCAGGGTGTCCATGCTGACTCCTGTACATCTCCCAAAGCACCTACAGCGAACATGTGAGTGTCAAAGATGGACCACGGAGCAATGGAAGAAATAACAATAATAATTGATACTTCTGTTGATCCCTGTGGGTAAATTGTCTTTTTATGCCTCCCTCAACTTGCTCTTTGTAGAGTAAGCTGTCTGTGAAGGGCAGCCACCTGTAGTAGTGCCCAGGGAGCTGGGGGTTAAGGACTTTGCTCAAGGGCCTGCAGATGTGCTGAGGCTGGGTTTGAATTGGTGACCTTCTGATTACAGGCACACAGGTTTAGCCCACTGAGACACACACTGCCCCCAGGTATAAGGAGTCATATTTTCTGTTATATTTTGTGGGTGGTCTGCTGCATGTGTATTGTTTACCTGGGGAAGAAATGGCACCAGGATGTACTGTGGGACGAAGGCAAACCAGCAGAGGCAGTGTGATGCTCTGGGCAATGTTCTGCTGGGAAACCTTGGGTCCTGGCATCCATGTGGATGTTACTTTGATACGTACCACCTACCTAAACAGTGTTGAAGACAAAGTACAAGCCATCATGGCCACTGTATTCCCCAATGTCGGTGACCTCTTTCAACAGGGTAAGGCACCCTGTCATACTGCAAGAATTATTCAGGGATGGATTAAGAAACGTGAAACAGAGCTCAAGGTGTTGACTTGGCCTACCCAATATTAACCAGGTGGTTTTAATGTTATGGTTCATCAGTGTATATCTGTCTGCTTATCTTGTCAAAGATACAGGAGGGCCTGGAGTCTAACTTGGGCAGTACATGGTACCCCCCAGGTAGGATTCGAGTCCATCACAGGGCCCAAACACACTAATAAAAATGTTCTTTTTTATTTACTTTTGTTCTACACATGCAATGGCTTTTTTTACTATGTCAATAAAATGCTTTCGGTTAAGCTGCTGTGTAGAAGAAGAATCCCGAAAAGATAATGAACCAATTATGGCCCTTTAATATAATTGACAGTCATTAAGCATAAAAAGTAAAACCATTACCAATTTCCGCTGAAAGCAGCTTTATGGCTCAGTTCAAATGTGTGGTGTGATAATGATGAACACCTAGATTTGACATAAGTACTTTTTGTCAAATGTCTAGTACTTCAATCACTTCTACCACTTTTTACACAATTTATTTTGGCTTTTAAGTATTTGTGTCACCTCATTTGTGGCATCTGATTTAGTAACTAAGGTATGTAAAATTGGAAGGGGGGGTGTTACAGAAACTCAGAAAGTGACTAATTGCATCAAGATATTTATTAAAGACCATATATATATATTGCATGTATGTCAGCAGAATGCAGTTTTTTTTACTTTAGGCAGTTATTTTACGATAAGCAATATATCAAGCAAATGAATGATCTCAAAATGCTACTATAAAAGCCCTGAGATACAGTGTGTTTTACTGCATGTGAAACCTAATTTAAAAAGTACAATTTTGCTAACTGATAAACACCACACGCAGATTTAAGTTTTACACAGTTTCTATAAACAGCATGGGTCCATAGCTGTTTATTAGACCATTTTGTAACATAGGCTTAAAATGTTCATTTCAAATGGTTTAGCCAAATGTTTCATGTTAATTTTTATGCTTTACACACTGCAGAGGAAGCTTTGCTGTATTTGGAAAGCAAGCAAGCTAGTTGCCAGCCCACCGTTTCACACAATGGGATATAGTCCATGGCTAGCAATTCCACACATGTTATTGCTGTTTCTGGCCAATCGTATAAATCCGTTTTCCCCCCATTGCTGTCCCCAGCTGCAGAAAAACACAGGGAAACTGGTCAGCCGTCAGTGCAGTTTTTGGACCTTTTCTGTGCAGTTTTGGCATAATTAAGGGAGTTTACAAAGGTGCTTCATTATGTATATTCTGCACACACAGCGTGAAGGGTGAAGGCATTTAAACAAATTCTTTGGGAGCCAATAACATGCCCTAAAATTTTTGATCATTGGTCTTCCATGGCATGACATGGATTCCAATGACACACTTATAGGCTGTCAGAAAATGAACACTAATGTCATCAGTACAGTAACAAAGGCAAGACTGGGGAATTTGCAGCAGAGCAGAAATAATAATACATTATCATTGCTGAATGTATGACTCCGACAAAGAACAGGGCACTGTTGGTACCTGAATTAATCTGGTTAAATGCTTTCTCTAAGTTCAAATACTATCTAAACATATTACAAAACATGCCAGAGTATTCCCTGCTTTGTTTTGCCTCGATTATTTTAACATTTTACCTGTTCTTCACCAGCCAGTACTGCTGCCCATTGTCTGATCCGTACCCGACGAGTACCACTGCGTGATTTATCCCACTGTGGTGGCAGTGTTTGTCATTGTAAATTCCTGCCAAAGGAACCAAAAAACAAAACGTTTGGCGACCAGAGCACAGGGAAAGAGGATCGTGCTAAATGTTTTGTTTGTGATGTTTGTCCATCCATGTTCAAGTACAGGATCACAAGGAACCTAGAGCCACCAAACTCCCTTGAACTACAGAAGTGCACTTTATTCATACTTTATCCAGTTAAAGATTGTTTGATTGCATAGTGAATCTGAGTGAAGTGGCTCACTCACCATTCTTGTAGTGATGGAAGGAAGCCTTTCCAGCATCTACTGCGACAGACAAAGGTCCTATGGTGGCGACAGCCCGCTGCAGCTCCATCTCATTACCCTTCGGAATCCTCTTGTAGCTGCTGCAGTAACCGGCTCGGCCTTGCTTTGTGTAGTGACAACTTCCTTGCTGCACACAGACGGAACCCACATGACATATAATATTGCTGACCTGCAAGTAAATGTCCAGATAAAGGCACTTCTCCCTCTAACTGCCCATCAACTGGAGGTGACAGACTTATCTTGAACGTGTTGGCTTAGAAGGAACTATCAACAGGGTTTGCAGCTTTGGTCAACTGGCTGGAGTGAGATTTTCAGTTCATGACTAGTCTGCACGCACATTTACATGCATGTAAGAGTTCATTACCTTGTAAATAATCTGAAGGGTTTACAAACTGCCCCAGCGCTTTTGATCTAGCTAATTTTAGGTTTATAATGGAATAATATATATTCGCTGTAAGATTTCTTGCCTGAGTCTGAAAGTGTGAGTGTCATGACAGATGCGTGAGAGTTGGCAACCCAGTGTTAATGATCTGTTTAGAATCTCATACAAACGTCTCTTGTCACTGTTAAACATGAGCTCACCCGGCCGACATAAGGGTACGTGTTCTCCGAGTCGATGCCCTTGTTCTCAGTGATGTATTGAAAAGCCAAGCCCATTTTGCCACCATTGCAGCCGTGGTTCTTCCTGTTGCAGTCCACCAAATTCTGGGGGCTGAGTGGTATCAGTTTTCCTGTCTTCAGCTTCATTTGGCCCTCCAGGGTCCCAACAGCGCTGAAGGCCCAGCAGGAGCCGCATTTGCCCTGGGAATGTAAGTTCATGTCATATTTGTTGCTCACATAAGGTTTCAGCCTTGTTGTAAAAAGCACTGAGCTTTGGGGTGGAGAATTATAAAAACTGGAATGGTTAATCTGTCTCTACACGCACATGGGAGGAAGCCAGCATGGGAATATATACCGGTAGTATAAAAAATGTATGTACCAATTAGAGCAACTCACACATCTAGTATGTATAGTATATTCTATTACTCAGAAAAACACTAATACTGAAATATATATTGTGAACATTTAAAAGTTTTACCATAGTGACTAATTATATGTTTATATGTTGCTGCATAAATGCAAACATTTTAATAAAACACTAGGACTGGGCATATATTAAATCCAAGACTGTCTATTGACAGATGAAACTCGCTGATAGTCCCTGTCACACTCCAGCTTCACTGGCATACACATGTCAGTTCCTCAGTGGTCTACAGTCCGCCCATTCTGATTGCAGCCTACCTGATTCCTGACAGGGGTCACCAAGCCTTTTGTACGCCAGTCCACAGTGTCTGGCAGGCCAGTGGCCGTCAGCGGTGCGAAAGTGCAATTGTCAGGCTGCACAAGATCATCTGGCTTCTCCAGCCGATTGAGCAGAGCATTCACCTCCCCAGCAGTCTGTGTAAACGGGGACAGATCAGCATGGTGGGGTATACAGCATGGTCACTGGACACCTCTGTGTTAAAAATAGGATTCTGAGGAAATCTACAAAACCCACTTTAATCTCTCCGCATCTTCCCTCAAAAAAACATATTTATCTTTATACCCTTGGCTCAATCCAATCATATTAGAGTAGGCCTGCTTCATAGCCTCCTAGTCACTACACATGTCCCTGAACCAACCTATGTGTGATTCTGACTAAGTTTAGCATGCGATCAGAAGATTTAACATGGCTAAGCAGTGGCTTAGGTGAAAAGACGATTCATAACCATCTGCATGGACCGACATATTAGCAGATACATTTACTAATACAGCACGTACCAGATAAATACCAACATACCAATTAGGGGTGGGCAATATCACATAAAATAAATTACTTTTTTGCAAGTTTTGGGAGGCGTAGCATGTCCTGCCCCTTTATGTGAATTGAAAAAAATATTTGACAATATATTAAGTACACTTTAATTGCTATTACAGATGGGTACTGAGCACGAGACGTCCACGGAACATTGCTTTATGGTCTAAATCTAGTCCAGTGTTTCCCCTAGGTTTACAGCTTTTTTGGGGGGGGGGGGGGCAGAGCAGACGGACACCGACAGGACTCTTGGTGTTCATTTTGGTCCGCTATTCAGGTGCTTGACATATTTTCCGACGCGCGCTCTCTTTCCGCTGGTGGGAGTGTGCTCACCTGTGTGTGCATGCAAGTGTCTGTGCGCGCGCATCGGGGCGGGACTCCGCTATGCGCGATACAGAGAGCAGAGGAGAATTGTAAACGCGCGACTGTGTAGAGACAAAAATGACAGGCTGTTGTGTAAATAAAATAAATAACAGAAGGCTATTTAGTTTGTTTAATAAAAGGAGAGACAATAAAAGGATAGACCTGTTCTATAGGAAAGGTAACCTTAAATGACTTCTGTTGTGATCTGGCGCTATATAGAAAATAAAATTAACTTGACCTTCGGGGGAAGGGGCGGGACAAGCTGCTTCAGTCGAAAACTGAATTTTACAGTTCATTTGAAATAAAATGTGGGGCTGTTAACTTTGCTCAGCTGGATGGTCTGAGATTTTCCATTCGAGACAAGTCTGCACACGTATTAACATGGATATAACAGATTTATTACCTTCTAAACAGTCGGTGTGATTTGCAAACTATCCCAACCAGAGCATGTGAGCGAGGAGCGGAGCGGACGGAATTTAGTCAGAGCGCGGAGTGGTTTTTTAATTAAGACTGGAGCGGTCGCTCTGTCTCGCTCCAATTTCGCTCCGATACCACTCACACTACGATTCTGAGGCGTGCCCAAATCTACCCAGAATACATGTGTACAATTATCAAGACTGTTACACAAATTGGACAAGATGGAATTCGCAAAGTATTTCACAAAGGAAACTGATACATCATACAAGTGTAATATTCTTATCAAACGTATAGATGACAATAATGTAGAGCAAGAACAACAATGTGGTGAAACTGTTTCAGTGAGTAACGATTCACTTTGGAATCATTTTTCTCAGAAATATGAAAGTGTGCTACGCGAACAGGCGGAAGCCAGAGCAAAACGTGAGCTTTATATGGTTGTAGTATATCAAGTCTATAAAGTAAATTCAAGTATAAAACCCTTTAAAGTAAATATTGGTAATCAAATAAATTCGTTTTATCATTCAAAGTAGGTCTAATGGGATTTTTTCAATTTCGCCTAACGCTGTCAGTGAAATTTTATTTTATTTTATTTTTCTGTTGACATCAACAGAAAAAAAATTGAGGAATTTAAAATGTGGATGCTTAGCCTGTATATTCTTTAGGCTATTAAGTCCCCTGTTTCCTTTATTTTTAAGCCTATTTTTGTGTGGAATGCCATTGCCAAACGTGTCCGTTGTTGCCTATATATGTTGCTTAAAAAAAAATATTTTCTGAGTGGCAATGTTGCCGTTGCTCATATTTCTTTATGGTATAAGGCTTCGGTTTAAGGTGACATTTGTTAGGCGTGCAGATTATTTGTCCCTCTTTTAAATTGGAGCGAGCGTGGAGCGATTTGACTGGGGCGGGAGGAAATTTTAATGGAGCGAGGAGCGGTGTTGAGCGGAGCGGCGTAGTGCAAATTAGAGCGGAGGAGCGGCGGAGCCAACAGCCTCCTGAGCGAAGAGCGGAAATTCTCACCGCTCCACTCCGCTCACATGCTCTGATCCCAACGCTTTTGACGTCGCCAATCTTAGGTTTATAATGGAATAATACATATTTGCTGTGATATTTCGTGCCTGAGAATCTGAAAGCCTGAGTGTCACGCCAGATGCGTAAGAGTTGGCAACCCTGAAGACGTACCGTACGTTTCTTGTTTCTGCTGAGTTGATTTATTATATTAAAAATAACATTACTTTATACAGTTGTTAAAAAAAATTTACGAATATGAAATCAGCAATAAACTACGTCTATTTATGCAACATTTTATGAAACACTGTGTTTGTAACCTTTTCAGGTTACGAATAGAGCGGCCACTTTCTTAGGCATATTACGGCTTTTTGGTTGAGGGTGTTAGATTCGCTGCTGTTATTAACAGTAATGGCGCATTAGCTCAAACAAAAAGGCTGCATGCGCCGAAGTACGTCTCGCTTGGCGGTAATTGACTTGGGAAACGGGCGGTTCTGGTGTTAACTGGGTAGTTGCATTGTTTACCACACACCTTATATGAAGGTAGCGGCGCATATATATGATGACTTAGCGAATATGATTTACTTTTTAATTTGCTACTATATATTTGCAAGCAGGTCATTTTGCGTATAATGACACAAAATTTATTATGAATTTAATTATATACTGCAACACTGCGTCGGATTGCGTTTAATAGAAAATGTACATAACGCAGCTAAACCGGTGCATGCACAATTTAAGGACAAGTATTTAGATTACAAATGAAGCTTTGAAGAAAATATCATGCCTTTTAAAAAATAAGCTGTTGAATAATTAGGGATCTTACCATGTCGGCAAGATGGTTGAGTTCCATGGTGTAGGAGTGGAGACCTTGTGTAGCCTCATGGTTGTGCTGCTCTATCATCCTCAGATTCTTCTGCCAGACCTGCCTTCTGTGAGTTTCCAGCTCCTGGACGCAAGAAATGCATACAGGCATACCTTAGACATCCACAGAGAGACAGAAATTAATGAGATGACATGCATAGATCAGCAGACACAGAATACATGTACACACACAGTATCTCAAACTCTCAAAAAGTTGGGAAAAAGACACAAACCATATATCACTTTCATACGCTTATAGTCACTCATGCACATACATTCTCAATACATACATAGGTGGATAGTTGAGGTCAAGAAAGTAAAAATCTAGACCAAGATTTTGTTTGAACCAACCAGTTGAGTACTCTGTGACTGTGACACTTGTTGGTTGAAACAAAATCTTGGTCTGGATTTTTACTTTCTGGACCTGAACTATCCAGCTCTGAATATAACCAAGAAACATAATGTACAATATATAAAACCACAGATCCAGTCAGAATTAAACACATACTTGAATGTGATTCACTCTATTCTCAAATGGTAGTCATCTTCTACCGATGTTAGTTGCTTCTGCTATTTATTAACATAAAATGCTTTCTCATGCCAGGCCACCCTGCACTATCTACCGACTGTCTAGTCATCACTGACCTTGCTTTCATAGGTTTTGGCATAGTGAATCTTCCACAGCTGCCACTGGTAATCCAGGCTGACATCCGGCCTGGTGTAGCAGAGCGCCAGAGTGGCAAGCAGAGAGGCGACTTGCAAAGGGTGCATCGTGGAACACTCCTTAATTGGTATGAGAACCTGATTATGGAGAATCAAATAGGTATGAGAACCTGATTATGGAGAATCAAAATAAAATTTTATAAAGCAAAATACTTGGATGACCTGAGATATTCAGATGTCTCTAAAATTACCAATGGAAAGAAAATACTTTATCTTGGGGATCAAATTGGATAAGATTTGTTCTAAAAACTTAACAATTTGAGCCACATAAATCCTGTTTTAATAGCCCTTATGTATTCATTTTCCATTAATGATCTTAATCCCTGGTTCCTCATTTGTTGTTTTTCAGGTCAGTTTGTAAGCATCCTTAAGTAAGGCTGTTGGATTATATCGGTTTTGCCTTTGGATAAGGTCACGGTTTACCTTTATGAATGCGGCTTGTGTCCTAGGAATATTCCTCTTGCGGAGATGCCCTCACAGTTTGGAGAGGAACTATGTCTGCCTCAACCCACCACTTATATATCTTTCTGTCGCACTTTTTCTTCTCTCACTCTCTCATTGATTTTATTTTAGTTTGGGGAAAAGGAAACCTTTCACTTCATTGGTTTCTCCTCTCTCGCTGTCACTCTGTTGAAAAAAATATATCAGTACTTCCTGGGACTTGGTCAAGATTCATAAGTTTATTCATCACTTACACAGCTATACAGGTACGACTTGCAGTGAAATGAAAAGCTACCCTGCTCCAAGATTGTGCAAAACAAAGCAAAATAATAAAATAATAAAAATAGTAAAAATAATAAATTAGCAGGAGAGATAATGGAATGAAGTAAATATAAAGTGACAAATTTAAAGTGATGGTACAGAGTTACAGTGGGTGTGTATCAGTTTTAAGTTCAGATGTTTGTTGGAATGTTGGAGTTCAGCATCCTGGTGGCCTGAGGGTAGAAGGTCCTCCTGAGCCTTTCAGTCTTTGCACAGTTGCTTGCCTGAGTTAAGCAGGCTGAATAGTCTTGCTGGGGTGGGTAGGATCTCTAATTATTTTAATTGCCCTGGTCCTGCAGTGCTTGGTGCAGATATCTTGCAGAGAGGGCAGTGCTCTGCTGCTTGCACCACTCTCTGCGGGGCTTTGCGATCTTGGACTGAGCAGTTCCTGAACTGTGATATGCAGCTTTGTGTTACGATGCGCTCTATGTCTGTTCAGGGTGCAGTTTCTCAGTGGTTTAGTATAATCCAGATTAAGACAAGTGATGCGTATGTACTTATTTGGTTTTCATTCACTGTTATTATGCAATTATTTTCTGCAATGGTTAAGAGTTTGTCTGAAAATAGCTAACTTTAATATTCCATCATCCGTCTTATCCTGGTCAATTCAAGTCAAGATTTTTTATTGCCGGCCCAGTAATATACTGGTACACAGAGGGTAGAAATTGCGTTTCTCTAGTAGCAAATGGTGTGACAATTAACTACATGGGACAGATGTAAAATGCAGCTGTGCAAAGTCAGACAAGACAATCAGACAAACTATGTGCAACACTGTAGTGCAACAACAAAGTACAGGCAGCAAATAGTGCAGTGAGTGGGTAGGAGGTAGATAATTGGCCTTGGAATTATAGCAGCAAATAAAAAACTGAAATATAGTATAAACACACTAGCAGCATGAAATACAATGTAGAGCAGAATAAATAGGATGCATTAGATAAAAGAAGACAGTTGCATGATGAAGACAATAAGGGTTGTTTGCGAGCGTGTGTTGGGGGTGGGTGGTGTGCTGTAGCAAAAGGGCAATTTAGGGGCACCAGTTCGCCAAAGTGTATGTCTCTGGACTTTTGGAGTAGATGGGCGTACCCAGACGAAATCCACGCCGGGGGAGGAGAACAGGCTCAGTAAAGACAGAAAAAACGCAAGATTCGAACCCCAGACCTTGGAGGTGTGAGGCAGTTCTAGTCATTGTGGTAGAATGTAATATTGTTTGTTGAAATTTCTATTAAATTTGTACTTGGCTGGTGTGTAACATTCGATCAGTGTTCTGCTTGGAATGAGAAAATAAGGCCTTTTCTTGGGAATATTATCACCATCTTGTGGTTAATATGGAGTACTACAACATATCCTTGTCAGACTAATATTTGGTCATTAAAATCATGCTTTGAGTGCACTCTCCTCAAGGTCCTTCTGCTTCTGCCACTCTTCCTCACCATTATCTCCTCCTTCACTGTTATAGCGCCTCCTACTGGTTAAATGGGGTAGCTGGCATGGGTGGCAATGCCACAGGCATTACACCTGTTACGTGCCAAATGCATGTAACCTTTCATGCCCCAGCCTTTCCCCCAGCTATACAAGGAGCAAAAAAGGAAAAAAAAAAACAAATGAAAAAAAGTTAAAGACGGGCACATATAGATATAGGGGGAGATTTAATTTGAATCATACAAATCTCTTTAGTCTACTATGCAGTTTCATAGTACATAGTACAGAAGATATTATAAATGTGCATTAGTTCTCCATAGTCCATAAAGACCAGCTGCAGCCATTGCTGCTCCAACATGTAGTAAAACTTAAAACTGACCAATCACAAGAAAGACATTGTGGAGTCCCACCTGTTCTTGATGATCCAGTACTTTCCCCGGTCAGTGGAACCGTATCCCACGACAAGAACTGCATGATTAAGACGATTACAGCTGCACCTCCTGTCATTGTATACACCTAAAAAAGAGTACAGGTTTGTAAGTTTGACTTATGACTCACCATTTGGTCTGCTGTTATCCATCATCTGTCCATCCATCCATCCATCCATTTTCTGATGCTGATCTGGGGTGGACTTGCAGGGAGAGCAGTCTGAGCAGTGATGCCCAGACCTACCTCTCCCCAGCCACCTCCTTCAGCTCCCCCAGACGGATACTGAGGAGTTCCCAGGCCAGTGTGTCCTGGGTCTGCCCCGGGTTCTTCTCGTGATTGGACATGCCTGAAACACCTCCCCAGGGAGCCGTCCAAGAGGCATCCTAGACAAATGCCGAACCACCTCAACTGGCTTTCGATGCGGAGGAGCAGCAGCTCTCCTTTGAGCTCCTTACCCTGTCTCTAAAGCTGAGCCTCATTTCTGCAGTTCCTTTTCATGGGCATAATTGTCATATGATTATTTGATGTTGACTGATTCTGCAGTCCCATTCTTTGCATCACTACCCAAAGCTTGTGACTATAGGTGAGGGTGGGAACATTGATCGTTTGCTAAGCTGATAGCTCTCGCATCACTAAGACACACCTGTACAACTTCTGCTTAACTGTTGATGCTGCATCCAGTCACCTTTTGATCTCCCACTGCATTCTTCCCTCACTTTTGAACAAGACCCTGAGATACTTTAACACCTCCACATGAGGCAGTAATTAACTCATCCCCAACCTAGAGGGGATGTTGATCCTCATGCTGACCACCTTGCACTCAGCTGCAAAGGGCCCCAATGCCTGCTGCAGGTCGCAGCTTGATGAAGCCAACAGGACCACATCATCTGCAAAGAGCAAAGGAGCAACCCTGAGGCCCCTAAACCAGAACCGCCTCCACCCCTTTGCTATGTCTAGAGATTCTGTCCATAAAAGTTTTGAATAGAATCAGTGACAAAGGACAGCCCAGGAGTCCAGCACCCACTAAAAGCAAGTCTGAAATTCTGCCGGTAATGCAAACCAAACTCTCGCCCTGTTTAAACAGGGACCTAATGGCCCGTAACAGCGGGTCCTGTTCCCCATACTTCCAGAGCACCCCCCACAGGACCCCCCAGTGACACACTGTCATGTGATTCTTCCACATCCACAAAACACATGTAGACTGGTTGGGCAAACTCTTGTGAACTCTCCATTATCCCCATGAGGGTAAAGAGCAGGTCCAGTGTTCCAGGGTTTTTGGTTCCATGCTGCTTTTCATTATTATGAGGGTCACTTAAATGGCACCTGGTCTGGCCAATCACTGAGGACCAATCTGCCTTGGGAGACCATGCCAGGGACCATCACCCCTGACAGCATAGCTGCTAGGACCACGGAGGCACACAAACCCCTCCACCACAGTCAGGTGTCACTTCATGGAGGGTGGTCTGCTTTTACTCATTCCGAAATATTTTTATTTTATTTTGGATTAAGTAGTTATTGTTAAATCCAGGGTAATTTACACTCATTGTAGAAAAATTATGATGGTTCTTCCTGATGCTGTTTCCTTTATTTAGACTATTTACTCTTTATTTGTATATAATTTTTGTTTCTTCAAGTTAAATGTAATGTAAAATTGGGTCTGCTTTCTCATGAAGGTGCCTGTCCTGCTGCCAGTGTTTGTTGCAGGAGTTTGCATGGTGATTAATTGGCTGTATCAGGCATAGATGTGGCTTAATTAGACAATTCCTTTAATTAATAGGAGTGTCCACTAGGCCTGGGCGACAGAGGTAGAAAGTTCAGGTCCAGAAAGTACAAATCCAGACCAAGATTTTGCTTCAACCAACCAGTTGAGCAAAAAGAGTCACATTCACATGAGTACCCAACTGGTTGGCTAAAACAAAATCTTGGTCTGGATTTGTACTTTCTGGACCTGAACTTTCCACCTTTCCTGGCAATATCTAAAAAAGCAACATACAATATTTCAATTTACCACTAGAGGGGACCCACACACCATAGTTTCAGAAATTCTGGACTCAGGTATATTTATTTTTAAAAACTATAAAGACTGTTAGAAGCCTACGAGAAGTAAAAAAAAAAAAAAATAACCCTATTATTTTATAAACTGCATCAGAAATGTGGGCTACAAACTTTGTGTGTAGAATGTAAACGGTTCAAAGATAGTTGTATGGATTGATGGCCATTGAGTTTTCATTAGAAAGTCTGACTCACTCCTCTGTCCTGTGGATACATGGCAGCCCTATTGACAAACATGGCTGAGGAGGGAATCTCACCCCTTCTGTAGAAATTGAAGGTGTGCAGTGAGGTGCTGATTGCTGCAGACACGGGCCCCACACTGGCCACAGCGGCCTGCAGCGCTCTCTCATTCCCGGATGCCACGCTCTTGTAGCCGCGGCATGACATCACTTTTTTCCATGCTTTGTAGGCACATCTCCGGTCCTGGTGGGTACGTACAGTATGTCAAGATAGGATTGGGAAGGTCTGACTGGGAAGATCTGACTGGGAAGCCCTACCGGAATGTA